CCGTGGCCAAATTTAGTGCTGCATCATCCGTGGCCGCTGCGCACGACTTGTACGTGCCAATGGGGGGACTCCCATATGCGTAGGACTGCCAGCCCCGCGTGCGGGTCGTCAAGCACGCCATAGATCATCAAATCCAGCGTGCGTCGGTTGGGCAGACATTGGGCGCTGTGGTGTGCGCCGGCCATTGTTGGGGACCCTTTGCCCATCCACGCTAATGCCTCGTTCCACGATCCTTGCCCTCGCATTAGCAAGCCAAGTTTTGAGGATGCCTCAGCGCCGTCGCGGAAGCCAGCAATTGATGCAATTGTTCATTTCGCCTGCGGCAGAGTCCAACAAAAAAAAACTTGCAAAAACGCGCAGGGCCACGACGGCGAGCAGCGCAGACCAACACGCATGTGCAGAATGGAAAGTAGATAAGGTGGAGTTTGGAAAAAGAAACACGAGTGGCGTGTGTCTCCCTCCCACATGTTGACCCACGTGTCATGACTGCACGTACCACCAAAAAGCAGGGCAGAAATGAGGTTGCAGCTCGCATTTTGTCGTGGCCTTGGCTTGCAATCGGTACCGGCACATCATTTAGGGCGGATGGGGGGGTTGCGCAACCAGGCCGCGTCGCAACGATGGCGGGAAGGCTGTCTTCTTCCTTGCATGGCCCACGCAAGTTGGCAAGCGGCTGCGAGAGTTGCCGTTCTGACCTTGACCCGCTTCGGGGGCGCTGCTGCTGTTGGCAGCTCACTTGCCATCACCGCGCTTCCCACCCCTCCGGAGCTGCGTATGCTTTCAGAGTGCATGCGCGTGGTGCTGTTTTGGCGGATGGGGCTGCCCGGGCCTCATGCGCCAAGGTAATGTGGGGGGAACTCCTGATGCCCTCGCGGATCACCCGGCCACCTGCCCCGTGTCACGTGTTTTGGGCACGGGAAGAACGGCACGGCTGCACGCGAGGGGACGGACGAATTGGCTGAAATTTTGCTGTGCACACTGATACCGCACAGCCACATGGCAACGCCCCTTGGTCATGTTGCGGTTGCGGGGCACACACGGCGCTGGTTGCAAACTGGAATTGATTTGGCACTGCGCAGCTTTTGCCTTGGAAACGGGTGGCTTTCCAAGACCATGATGGCTTTCCTTCGAAAAGCCGCGAGTTTTCAAAACTATGTTCCTGGAAGCCCATCCTTTTTTCGGGGTCTTCCATTCTGCAGGCAAAGCCATTTTGGAAAGACTAATGCTAAACAAACGCAACGTGTTGGCATTTAGTTCAGCTTCTATACATGGCATTTGAATGGGGTAACTCTTGCCCGGTTTCTCGGTTGACCTCAACACTGGGTGCTCGCCTCGAGAAGCGAAAGCTTCAGCCCGGCACGGCGAGTTGCGCATACATTGACGAAGATTGTTGTGGGGCGTGCTGTTTGGCCTACCGGCAATTGCAAGTACGGTGTCCTGACCATGCTGTTGGAAACCAAATTTCCTTCTGCCGTCCCTAGCGACCCTACTTAAATTGACACCTAGGACCTAACCTGGACATCGCTGCTGCGAACTTGTACATCATTTTCAAGCGCCGTCGTGGACGTTTCCAAATCGTGTGCTTCGACCCGTGCAATGACCAACGGAGACACACGTTTGGATTTTCAGGCACGCACCGTGGAAAAGGCATAAAACGATTTCGCGTGCCCTCATGCAGGCTTGCTTTGGTGGATGAGCTCTGGACTCAGAAAGGCGTGGATGCCCGAGAACAAGACAGCTTCGGAAGTATTGGCCGAAATGGAAAACAAACAATTCTAATATTGCAGCATAAGTGACGTTGAAAGAATGTATTTGCGGGCTCTGCACTGGTTGGCTGGACCATGCCCTGCAATGCTGTCCACGCGCACACCACTGGCCGAGCCACAAGGCCACACGGCCATCCCTACATAAGTGGAAGTTCACAAGCCGTATAACTAAGTATAACTGGGCTTTCACAGTGCCTCATAAATCATCGGGGCACGGAAGAAGGAAATCGGCAAAGCATGACACGGCAGCCGCAGCAAGCAACGGACATCAGGCAACATCAAAGTCTGGCAACTAATTACGATGGCCAAACCGTGCCCTAGCACACCGTAACCAACGCCAAATTTGGAGCGCACGGGCGCGTGCAGCAACACATTGCGCTGCCCATAAAAAACATGCTCGATAGGATGTGATTTGTCGAGCTGGGTAACTTCGACTGTCTCCACACAAATTTCAGCGGCCAAAACGAGGCGTGCTGGCATTGTCGCCCCCTTGTCTTAGGAAGGGATCGCAGCGGGTCAGAACTCACGTAGGGCGAGAAGAAACAGATCACTTGGGACGAGAAAACAGGGATCACTTGGGACGATTGCGAAAGGCTTGTTAAGGTTCAGCCAAAAGAGGGAACCCAAAAAAGAACCCCAACAAGAAAAACAGCCAAAACCAGTGAAGTGACACTACGCATTTGCAAGACGACAACGAATCAACCGCCATATTGTCTTAGTCAGCACGGTCCAATCGCCGGATAACTGGCCGGCATAGAATTTGGAAACGTAGAAAGCTAGAGCGCCGCGTGCGCGCGGCGGCGTGTGCGGCGGCAAATACGATCGGCACGCTGGTAAACGGCACCAGCATGTCACTGCAGCCGGTAGCCTGCCAATGGACAACAGGCGGTCAAGGCTCAGTAAGCGTTTTGCGTCCCGGAGCCCGAGAAAGAGGATCAGCAACGTGCAGTCCATATCAATTGGATACGGGTTGACGTGCCGTGTGTCAGCTTGTTGCATATGTTTGAGGAGCCTGATGCCCTGTGTCAAGTCTACATGACTGAACCCCTTCTCACTGCCCGCACCCTGACCGGCCAGCTCCAGGCACCAGGCCAACTCAACTCAATTTTACTTTTGCTTGGCAGGGGCAGTGGCAGCGAACCACAACACAAATTGCAGGAAACAAAGCAACATGACGTGGAACCGCGGACCGGCAACGACTGGAGAAACCATGAGCACACATGCTACATGTGGCCCAGCTGGCGCAAGCATCCAGACGTGAAACGCAAAGGGACGACGGTCAACGAGGTACGTTCGCAAGCCTCCATCACATGCATGGACGAAATGTGGTTGGCAACCATACAACAATCCGTCGGTTTTTTCCCGCAACTGGCCTGACCGACTAATGCTTCTTCACCTGTTTTATGGTCAAGGCACAGCACGAAGCAGCAGCCGGCACTGTGGCAGAAATGACAAGTGCCCAGCACTAGAATTGCGCAGGAAAGCCATCAGCATGCCAACAGCTGGGCTGGACTCCAGCGGCTGGACGGAAACTTCACCGCCAACAGGCAAGTCAGCATGGTGAGGCCCTGTTCATTCTCAGGAAGCGACCACAGGTGCCCGCCACAGTTGGGAGGCAATGGTGCAGAGCAGCAAGAACATGTTGGCTCCGGTCGATTTCGTGGAGGCAGTACAGGCTAACAGCACTGTGGGGTGCACTTGGACGACAGCTGCAGCGGCAAGCACGATGTCCGCCCAAGACGCTGTCGGGCATGTCTGTTGCTGTTGGTGTGTTGGTCACTTGTTTTGAAGAAGAGCTTGCAGACGTACCAAAAAAGCTTGCCGTGCAATGCTGAGCTGAGGCAGAGCCGGCAGAGCTGGGGCTGTCGTGTGGCGCCGCAGTGCGGTAGGAAACAGCCACCACGATATGAATGCACTGCCCCCTGCCAAGCCAGTGCTTTTGCTTTTTGCGGCCATTCCACTAGATTTTGATTAGCATTACTGATTTTTCGCTGTGGTCCACCATTCTGGATGGTTCTGGGCTGGCATGGATGCAGGGTTTGGCTGGGAAGGGTTCAAGGTTGTTGTTGGTTTTTACCCCACGGACTTTTACGTCTGCCGGTACTGGCACGGGGCTCTTCTCTCAGTCGGTCTCCGTAGCAAGACTAGGGTTCAGGGTTTGAGGCCACATGTTTAGGCAGGAGTTTGTGTAGAGCTAAGGGGTGAAGTAGTGCCAAGGTATAAGACTTGAGAGCTTCAATAGTTGGTTGGAGGCTTCGTGCAAAGACAGCAGGATGTAGCTGGCGATTGGGCTGCTTTGGGCTCGTGAGCTATAATGTTTAGGACTTCGGGACTGGTGGCTGTCTGGTTTAGGTTGAAGGCTTTAGACTGTAGGGTTCGGGGCTTCAGGTTTTAGGCTTTGGCCTTTCGGGTTGAAGGATGCGAGGCTTTAGGCTTTAGTGCCCCAGATTCGGATGCTGAAGAGCTCTTCAGGGTTTGGGCTTCTTGGGCTCTGGAGTTCTACCACGTGAGGGTTGAATGGTTGTGTTCATTGTTCAAGTCTTGGTACAGTTTCAAGGCTTAGTTTCTTGGAGTCGAAGGGCTTCATGGTTAGGTATTGGGCTCTAGGGTTTGTGGTCGTGATTTTGAGCGGTTGAGGCTTTGGCTTTTAAGATGGTTGGATTTCAGTGTTTGGGTCTTGGGGTCTTGGAGCTTCTAAGTTCTTCGCAGAGAGTTGAATAGTTGTTGGGTTTAGGCCGAGCCTGTTTCCTGCTTGAATTCAGCGTTCCAGGGCTTCTTCAGGGCCAGAGGTTGGTTTTAGGGCTTTAGGATTCCGGGTGTGGGGTCGGGTTTAAGGCTTTCAGGACCCAAGCAGAAGCAGTTTGCAACTTGTTTTGCTTAGATGCTTTTTAGGCCTTTGGGCATTTCAAGATTTAGGGTTCCAGGTCTTCAGGGCGCAGCTGGAAACCCGAAAACAGCTAAATCTCTGATTTGAGGTGAAAGAGCCTAGGGCTTCACCACTCTGAGTGAGGTGCGAAAATGCCTCAGGGTTGGCTTCATGGAGAAAATCTGTTGAAAGCTAGCGTCAGAGGTTTGGGGAGTGTGTGCAGCCCTGGCTTCCTTCCTTACCTGCCAGTGAAGCCAACAGCACACACAATAGCTTGTTTGCTTACTTGCGGTGGCCGACGCTGGGAGAAAAAATGAAGCACGGAGGATGAATACCAACAGCTAGCCTAGGTGTTCCACAGTGCTCGGATTGGCATCGGCGCAGAGTTCTATCGTCGAACCAGCAAACTCTGCTGCACCACTGACCATGACACACGAGTCAGGCATGCAATGCTCTTCCTAACCAGCGACGTGTTGCTTGTCACGGCACGTCACGTGCTGCGGCATGAGAGCCGCGAAATACGAACACAGATTGGCATGTATTGTGCGGGCTCAAAAGAAGCATGACGGCAAGAAGTAATTAACAAAGCCTATGCATGATGATGATGGCAGGCAGGCTATTTTGAGCTGGCTGCGCCTTTAGCTGCCAACACAAATGGTCGACATGCTTGCTAAACCTTCTTCCAACTTGATGCATACCTAGGACATTCACAAGAAGTATACTACAATCGCTTCACTTGTTCGGTTGAAGCATCCAAATCCCTTGCTTGCATGAACGTCCTTTCCAGCAGCGCCAATCCACTTGTGCGGGGTCTGCAGTCTAAGGCCGGCTGAGCCAAGCTGTGAACAAGCGACAAACGCCAAAATATCTTGCGGATCATTTTGAGCAGAGACAATTGTAATCGGCCAGACGCTATGCTGGAATACTGCGGCGAAAACTCACGGCAAAACCGCACACCATTCGTCGCTTCGTCGACTTTTTTCGGGAGGCGAACCTAGTTGACCACCAGGATCAGTTTCAGAGTAGATTCATGAGCTTGCACATAAGAGTCGTTGTGATGCGCTGCTGCAACGCGACTTGGGCAAATGAGCGAATCTGTACACAAAAGGATGCTGAAGACATGTCGAGACATCAAAATAAGCGTTCTTCGGACTGCAATTTCTGCACTTGAGAAATTGCGTTTCGCGGAAAGCTCATTTCGGGTCAAAGCCAGTCCGTTGCCGCTGAGTCATCTCATTCAGCCGTGGAGGTGCAAAGTGTTCGCTGCTCCGGAGGGCAGTCGCATTTTGCACACACTGCAAACAACACAGGCCATGAAGGATGACCCCCAGACCGTGCACCCCAAGCGGGTCTGCTGGCTTATCAGGTAAGGCTTTGGCTTTGCGAGTCATGCAATGGAAAATACATTGTTGCAACAATCAGAGGAATGGAGCGCTTGGGGCGGCCCTTCATTTTGCAAGCTGAGAGCACCCCACACAGGCCGACAAATCCCAGAGTGGCCACGAGCACCCAGATTCTGCTGCTACATCATCAGGAGCTGCAACAATCAGCAGGTAGAGAGGCTCAGCCAAGCGGTTGTGGTTGGGATCACAACTATCGGCTTATCGGCTTGTCGATTTGATTGCCTCAATCTCAATACTGCTCAACGCGAAGGGTTCCAAGGCGCTCACAATCCATTTCGGCCACATGTGTCCACAGCACCGTACCTGCCCCCGACAGGACTTCATGGGATACTTGGCGCGAACTGATTTGGCACTCTCCCGGATCTGGTGCCCGAGGCCTCGGAGTACGTGGCTTCCTTGGCCCTTGCATTTCCTCACAAAAATCAAATTAAGGCCGGATGCTGAAGGGATCGAGATGCTGGCGTCCATGTCCCCAGCCTGGATGGCCAAGTAGCACTTACCATCACTCGGTTTGCTTGCTGAGGCACTGGCATCAAGTCCAAGTTTTTCCTCGAGCAGACTTGCAAGCACAGGAAAACACTCGCATAACTTCCCGCAGGGTCCTGTCGGGGGACATCATGCTCCACACCTCATTGCCATACTTGCACTTATACTTGAAAGCTGCCGGCGTCTTCAGATCAAGTTCAGCATCGGGCGGGCTTTTTGCGCAGATTCACATTGTCGTTCCAGACCTCAGCTTGAGGGCTGGATTTGCGGCGGGCAGACCCGCAGCAGCGTCCCACCACACAGAGCAGCCTGCGTATTGGCCAGGTGCTGGCGTTGTGTTCTGCTTGACACCAAGGCTGGGTGCACTTTGTGATTTGCTCTCCTGGCCGCACATCAAGGAAGTACGGGCGAACGTCTTCTGCGGGAGCCTTTGAGGCCCCGGGATCATCTCTACCTGGTTTCACATCGCAACTCCCAGCTCTTCAGCTAACAGTTGGTACTATAAGGCCCTTGCCGTGGATCGTAGGCAACCTTTGCTGGCCTCTGACGGCTTTGCTGCATCATTCATGTCTCACACTTCCTAGACGCCATCCTTGGGCACACAACGCACCTGGACAAACACATCTTTCCAGAAACCTTGCTAACTTCACGAATCTTGTCAAGAACATCTGCAAGGTCTCTTATGTGTCATCATGCGTCTACGAAACCAGATGATCTGTTGGGTTCTGAGCGCAGCCCTGAGACAGCGAGCACCTGAATGAAATAGAAACTATATTGCGCTCTGGTTGCTGGATGATTCCGCACGGAACGTGTGAAGTGACAAATTGCAGATTCACATGGTCATGCAGCAGTTTTTTGAGAATGCTTGTAGCCACCGGTGCATCAGGACGCATAGCTGCGCTGCATTAAACACTATCAGTCACTATCAAAAAGCTGTATGGAGAAATCTACGGACCTGCAGACATTGAATTGCGTGACTGGACATTGTAAGACTGCTGCCTTCCTCGCGAACGTAGTCATCAACAAGCACAAGGCCTGCATATGCAGGGCAAGGTCTTTGCGTTCTTCACACGTGAAGAAGAACATGGCACACCTGGCTCACTTGAGGTTTGCTTGGATTTGGAAACCTCAGTTTGGTGAAAGCATGCAGCTGACAACAAAAAATCAAGTGCAAAACAAATGAGTTTGCAGCTGCGTGCTTCCGCGGCGCCATGGCTTTGCCACAGCATGAAAAATCTGGAGGTTAAGGACACCAAAAGCATTTACATGTTGCTCATACTATCAAAGCGCTCTGCACATGTTGGCTTGCCACTTGTTTGGGCTTGCCTAGGTTCAGGAGGCTTCCAACATCATGCTACACCACACACATGCAACCTGACAGCTATCAGCTATCCATTGCGGCTCAAATCAGTGTTCACAAAATGGCCACAGCCCATCACCGAGCTCGTCAAGACGTCGAAGTGATTGCAGCAGCAGTTCACGTGGAAGCAAAAAGCGGATGGCATCCCCAAATAAACTGTTGCACAGAGGGCTCCGGGGGCTTCGCTTGGGAAACCTGGACAGGGCAAGAAACTTGCGGCAACCAGCACCGCATCATACCGCATCTCTACACCCTGCAGGCAAACTGGGAAGCACGAGCATATGACCCTGCGGCTTGTCCAAGAACTGACGTAACCAGTGTTTGATTCATGAATGGTTCTGCATTTGAAAGTAATTAAGCGTAAACAGGATTTGGAAATCTCTGCGAAACATGCAGAAGCTGTTACTCGCACTACCGTGCTTCTGATCATCGCGGCTATGAAGGTTCAGACGTGGCGGTGCACACATGTGACGGTTGACAGCAGCGCTCAGCAAAACAATGGCTCGCACTGTCACACTTTTGCTGTGGGTACAAGTAGCTACGTGCTCAAAGGGCCCCTGTGGGCAAACGCATCGGACAATCAGGTCAAGACACATTTGGAGCATGCCGTTTCACAGCTCTTCAAAAATTCTGTTGACCTGATTTCATCGCCTACGCACGGAACCTGTAGCCCTCTCAGAGGAACGGAACTCCAGACTCTCCTCCTCCGCCACAACAGCGTAGGAGCCTTCAGTCAGCAGCTTGAAGAGCGCCGCCGGGTTGCCGTTGATCTTCGTGAGGCAGTCAACGATCATAGCGTGGTGCTCTACCCAACGGACGTGAGCCTGAAGACCATCTATGCGCTCTCGAGCTATGGCTACATCCAAGGCCGTGTACTTATCTTGCGCCAGCGATCCGTCCTTCCGAAGGTTGTCGTACAGGGACTTGGCATCCACGATGGTGAGGGATTCCTTCAGCTGTGCATCCGCATCCGCCTTCTGCAGAACCATCTCGGCCTCCTTCTGCACATCGGCTCGGAACTCCTCGATGCTGAAGCGCACGTCCAGGAGGTCGCGCCATATTGCCTTCGACCACAAAAGGTCGCCCAGCCCCTTGTTCAGCGACTGAGTCTCTGCAGCCAAAGTGGAATTAACCTTCCTTCGAAGTTTGCCTGACTTCCACCATATCAACGAACATGTCGCCCTGTGTCCGGACAGCAGATCTCGGTGGAAAGCCAGGATTCCAAGAGCTCCTTGAGAACCTCCATCCCCATGATTTGTGAAGCTGGCGTCTGTGATGACGCCCCAACACAGCTCCGACGGCGGTATCGGGAAGTACCGCAACGTGAGCTCTGGGGTCTCCTTGACTTTCTGGATCACCTTGTTAAGCTCCAGGAGGTCCTTCACTTGCAAGTTGGCCGCCTTTGAAGCCAGTATGCTAGCTCCAGCCGCTGCGTCGGGCCTGCCTTCCTTGGCTGCCCAGGCTAGGCTTCCAACAGCTCCTCGGAAGCGTGATTTTTCATCTTCGGAAGCTGGCGCCTCAGGTTGTGACCGCCTGCCCTTCTCCAAGGTCATCGGGGCCAAACGCTCAATGACATACTTGGTCATGTCCACGGCGATCGTGTAGTCGGGCAGCTGCCGGATCCGCCTTCCGTTGAAGGTAGTGCCCTCCGGCATAGCCTGCAGCTCTTTGAACTTTCCGAACTTAAAGCGCCTCTGCAGCTCTGCCAGCTTGGCCGCATGGACGCCCTTGCCGAAGTTCAGTAGGTCGTCTATCTCGATGATGATGATGCCTTCCAGGGAACCATCTGGCAGGTGTAACTTGAAGATACACGGGTCGAGCCTAGACTGTTTGTACTGCAGGGTGCCCGTGACGTACTCCTTCAAAGTCTGTCGCCAATGGATCGGGCCATCCAGCAATCCATAAACTCCAGCAACTATCTCTATGATTTGCTCTGGATCTAAGCCAGGGAGGCCATGCTTGGGCTGTCTGATGAACAACGCGCTTTTTGGGCGCTTCAGCGGATTACTTTGGGTAAACGCTGCTTTGAGATCCCCGCAAGAGCCAGAGAGCTGGAGTGAAGACGCCAACTGGAGAACGACCTGCAAGTTTTGAGTCGTCACGGTGGGCGCATACTTCTCTAAGTCATAGATGTCTGGGTCCTGGTCTCCGCGCACGCAGAACCTTGATTTCTTCGTGGGCGGTTCGCCCACCCGCTCCGCCGGTTTGTGGCGACGCACGAACCTGGAGTCTATGACCCTGTTGGAGTTGCGGACAGCACCTTGACCGCTCCTGACGCCACGATCTTGCCCCATTCCGAGGCGTCCTCGATCAGCCAGTCGGGCCAATCTTCAGCTGGTATATCACGTTCTGCCACTTCGTCCGACGAGGTCTTCTTGGCTGCGAAGATGTCCGGGGAGAGCGTAAGGAACGTGTAGGGGCCCTCCACGGTGTCCTCTTCGAACAGCGGCATCTTCACCTCCTTCAAGGCCTTCTTGGTGAGGTAGAAGTCGGTGAAGCCTTTCCACTTTGCCTTGAGCGAGAAGCTTGGCCTGAGCTGCCTCCAATCGTCGCTCCACTCTTTCAAGTCCGAGTCCTTGAAGCGAGCCACTGTCCTGCGCTCGCACGTGAGAAGATTGAAAGGCACAGGAGCTTTGGTGGCTTCCAGCGGGGTGAAGACATGGCTGCGCCACTTCACATGGTGCCGCCTGAGAACTCCCTCTGCCGGCCTAAGTTCCCAAGAGTCTCGACTGAGCTTGGCCGGATCTATCTCGGGTCTTGGCGGGATCGCCTCGGTCTCAACGAACTCGTCCTGGCCGGTGAAGCAGGGGCTCTCTGGAGCGGTGCGCCGGCTCACTCTCACTGGCGTGAAAGGCGCATCCCCTTCGGGGATTTGAGGCAAAGCTGGCCGGGCTGTCCCGACTGGTGGCAGACCGTCCAGCACTCTACTGCTCGTTGCTGAGTCCGAGGCTGCACGAACCAAATCTTCTCTGGAGGTAGTAGACGATGAACTTGGGCCTTCAGCACTTGCTTCAGCTTCGGCCTCTGGTTCTTCTCCAGTCATTCGGGAGAGTTGCCGCTCTGGAGCTGCACCGGCTTAAGGTAGTGGAACAGGTGGTTCGGGAACTTCAGGTTCAGGGTCTACGGGCACAGGAATAGGGACCACTGGAACTGGTGTTTCTTCCTCGTGCCTAGGTCGCGGAAGCCCTCGCTCTCTTCCCTCTCGCTCCACCTCGTTCTCGTCCTCCAGGGCTGAACGATCCACTCCTCGAGGAAGAGGGTCTTGGGTGTGATCTTCGATGAGCCTGCTTCCAGCTCTCTCGTGTCTAGCTCGAAGATCATCAAAGACCTGGTGAACCGACTCGATGCCTTGGATCTCGCCGCCAGTTGCCGCCCTCAAATGTTCATTGGCGACTTTCCAAAGGCGGCCGTTCATGTTGACAAAGGAGTTGGCCCCTTCAGGCATTAGCACCACACCCGGGCCAACCCATTGGGGCTTGAGCACGCCCTTTTCTTTCCACGAACGCCACACGAAGATGACCTCTCCTGGAAGAAATCTTCTCTGAGCTCGGTTACGGCCTCGTAGCGCTCGTTGGGCTGCTTCTGAAGTGTTGACCTCTGCAAAGGCCTTCTGAGCGGCTCGTCGAGTGGCAAGAAGTTGCTCTAGTTCTTGTCCATGACCGAGCAGCACGGGATCTATGGCATCATCGCTCATCAGTTCTCCATTCGTTCTGGGCGTATGCCCCAGCATTCTTTGCGAAGGAGAATAGTTCGAGCGATTGAACAGCCGGTTCTTTGCTGCTTCCACTTCACGCAGCAGTCGGCGAAGATCTTCTTCAGAAGCAGGAGGGTCATGCCACCGGGCCTTTTCCAGCATCATTTTGAACAGCCCCCCATGCCTTTCACAACGCCCACTTCGGCGGTGCGCTCTCTGAACTCGGCAAGGAACTCTGTGCCCTGGTCCAGCATAATGATTTGTGGGTAGCCGAACACCCTCACCCAAGCTCGAGTGAAAGCGGTCCAGATCGACAGAGGCTCTTTGCTCCGGACTTTCTGTATCATCTGGAAAGACGTGCCCAAACAAATCATGTTGAGGTACCACTCCTGGGATTGGCCATTGCACGAGGGCAGCTGAAGAAGATCCATGGCCACCACCGTGTTGGGTGCATAGCTCCTCGGAATCATAGCCGGCCTGGCGCTCTTGGGGTGTGTAGCCGATTCACAGGCCGGGCATTTAAAGTTCTGCTTGGCCCATCGCCACACTCTTTCAGGAACCCGGCTTGTCTTCATGACCCGTATCAGGTCGGAGAGCTTGGGATGGCCGAGGTTCTTGTGGAGCTTCATAACCGACTCCTTCTCTGAGCGAGTCGGCTCAGCCACCGGTTGCCCCACGTTCTCTTCGTCTGCCGCTTCACCCGGCGGAGCCAGGTTCATCGGCTCATCCTCCTCTACCACCTGCACATCCGCCGGGAAGAACTCCTCTTCATACGGAACCAAACGCCCCGCACAAAGAAGATCCTGCTTACCCTTTGCTATGTCATACTTCACCTTGTCCTGAAGGTTGGTGAGGATGCCCTTCTTGCGGTGCAGGAGGAAGGAAGCTGAACCCTGACTTGTACTTGACCGAAGGCTTTTAAGATCTGAACGGAACTCTTTTCCTTTGCGCCACTGAGCCCTCGCCAGTCGCGCCGCCAAGGGAGCCGCGTCCGAACCACCGCCAACCAACGTCAACTTGTCCGGGCACGCTTCCTCGAACCTCCTCCAAGCCTGTGCTGGTAGAAGTCGATCCAAGTCAAGCTCTAGCTGGGGTTCCTTCGGAATGCCGGCTAACGAAGCTTCCTGCAGGTAGTGACGCAAGTCTGGGGCTTTGCCTG